TAATGCTTCGTTTAGTTGTTTGATAATTTTTTTAACAAAAAAAAAAATGGTGATGCAAGTGTCCTTAAACATGCCCACACTCTACATTTGTTTTAAATAATACCGATAATTATGTCATTTTTATTATTACAAAATTAAGTGAAGTGTAAAAGTATTTAAATTTTATGTTAATAAAAGAAAATTTTAACACATTACTGAGAATTTTATCCATTCAAACTTGAACCGTGGTTTTCACTGCATTACTTTAAATTGATTTTTTCTTTTTTTTTTGAAAAATGTATATTAATCTTACAATATTCAAATTGAAAGTGTGATTTAAAAGTATAATTTCAAAGACTTAAATGAAATATTTGCCAAAGTCACTATACTCTGGTGGCGTGGCGTCACTTTAAATTGATTACAGACTTATATTATTACCAAATAAATAGTGGTGCTCGTTGACTTCTAGTACTACACAAAATCAAAGTTCAGACTCCGCTTAAAAAAAATAAACGTACAGGCTGTTCGATTTGGACTTTTTATTTATGTGTTTATTGGTAATTAAGTGTAGGTAAAATTGACAACGCAAGGTCAAGTACAAAGTACACGTGAACGATTTGGACTTCTATCAATAAAAAATAAAAAATAAAAAATTAAACATACAGGCGGGCTGTTCGAATTGGACTTTTAATTTATGTATTTATTGGTAACTATTATGTATTTATGTGTTTGGTGTGGGTTTACATGTAATTAAAATAATTGATGATGTCATCAATGAGGACATCTTTTGGTTGGTGTATGGAAGAAGCTTACTGTTGACGTACTGAAGAAGCTACATTTTGGGCCTTTTAGCCTATAAAAGGCCTTCTCTCTGATGCTTTGTAGATAGCTTAATAAAAAGCTTTTCAATTTCTCTCTCTGCAAGCTCTCACTTTATACATATATATATATAAACACATATATTTATTACAGTAACTACTTTTACCTTAATTGAAAAGTCAATTAATTTGTAGAATATTATTAATTTAACATTTTTATTAATTTAACATTCTTTGTTGTGAACTCACTATGGGTTAATTGGGACTCACTATGGGTAAATTAATAATCCACGCACTATCAATACGATAAAAAAATAATAATAAATAATTAAAGTATAGAAAACTCCCCTCGTACTTGTAATATTTTTCAATAAATCCCTCTTGTATAATTCTTTTACCAAAAAACTTCATCAACTATCCAAGGGGGTGAAAGAGTTCATATTTGAACCAAAATACCTTTTTATTTAAATCCTAATTCTTTCGAATTTCAAATATTCATATCTCACAAACCATACATCTAAATATTACAAATAATATATGCACAGAAAACTTATAAAACAAAGATTCCATAAATATTAGATTTGTTCAATAAAACGTAATAACAAGAGAGAAATAAGTAATCTAAAAATCTACTACAACAATCTTATTTTATTTTATTTTAAAAAAAACACTCAGGTTATTTGCAAGAAAATTTTCAGAATTATTCATTTGCATATGAAGCATAACATAAAAAAAAATAAAAATGGCCCCAACAGAGACCAAATATTCATTTTGATATTTTTTTTTTAAATGGTGAGTCTATAAAAAAATGAAAATACTTTAACGCAAAAATATGATATCTCTCTGTTGGGGCTAAATATTTTATATGTTATGTTCCATATATAAATGAATAAGTCATAAAATTTTCTTGCAAATATCCCAAGTATTTTATTTTTAATAAATAAAATAAAATTGTTGGAACATATTTTTAGATTGCTTATTTCTCTCTAGTTATGGAGGTTTGTTGCACAAATCTTATATTTCTAGAATCCTTATTTCATAAGATTTTCATGCATATATTATTTACAATTTTTAAATGTACGGTTTGTGAGATATAATTTTTAAAAGTTAGGGAGAATTGTAATTTAAATAATAAGGGCATTTTGCTTCAATTTAAATAATTGAAGGGGGTTCTTTGTTAAAAATTTAGACAGGAGGATTTATTGAAAAAGGCTGCAAATCGAGTGGGATTTGTATTTTGCCCTAAAAAAAAAGTAAAAGTCAGCTCCCGTCGTCCCACAAAAATGTATACCTTTCTTTTTTAGGTGTCTCAAAATAAATACTCCTATCTCAATTGAAAAATCAATATAATTTTTAAAACATTACTAATTTAACCTTCCTTATTGAATTTATAAAAAATAAACCATCACATTATTGTGGACTCACTGTGGGTAAATTGGTAATCCACTTACTACCAATATAAGATTACAAAAAAAAAAAAAAAAAAAAAAAAAAAAAAAAAAAAAAAAAAGGAAGAAGAAGAAGAAGTCATCTCCCACCGTCCCATAAAAATGTATATTTTTCCATTTTTTTACTGTCCCAGTTCAAATTTTAATGTATTATTTTTTTAATATTCCTAATTTAGTCTCCTTTCATTAAAAATATAAAAGCAATTTAAGTATGTACATCTGCCATAGGAGGATATATTTGAAAATTCATTCCCTTATCACTATAATAAAAATATATATTAAAAACTACACTCTTAAAAAGTTAGGATCCCAAAAAGGGTTATTTTGTAGGGCACAAAGTATTACTATATATTACAGAATGTGCAAATACCTCTTTAGTGATTTTTTTTGTTAAAAACCTCCTACATTTTTTCCAATTGGGCAAATAAGAAGACTTAAAACGTCAATTTAGTCAAAATTGATGGTCAACGTATCTTACGGGGCAATTTGACATATTTTCAAATGTTCAGAGGTTTTTTTTTTGTTGTTACTGCATTTTTACCCTTCTTTTGTTGTTGCTGCATTTTTACCCTTCTTTTTCTTCCCTTGAGGAGACAGGAACTTTTTACCTTTCAAAGCGAAAAGAGAGGACATATCACTTAGACCACCACAAGCCCTGATGGCACTTTTATAATTCAATTTTCTTTCCTTTAAAAAAAAAAAAGGTATATCAAGTGGTGTTAATTGTACAACAGTATACTGTTAACATATAAGAAAATGTATCTTCACACTTTTTTTATTATTTACTTTCACAATAAACTCACACACCCACTTCGCTCCCTCAAAATTATTCTACTTTATTCATTTATTTCGATGTAAAATATTTATTTTAGAAAATATATTTTAGTATTTTGCAAGGTCTAGGTTGAGGTTGAGATCGAGTCCATCATACGAAGCGTATAAAATAACTTGTCGAAAATTAAGGACTAAGTTATTTTAGTCAAATTTTAATATTTTTTTTCTTCATAAATATTTTACCACAACCAAAAACCAAAAAATAAAAAAATATATATATTTTAAAAAGTATTTTACATCCAAACAAACGAAGCCTAAGGTGAAATATGAATACACTACGGCCATCGATAATGATTTTCGTACTTCGCTTTACTAAGGGCCCGTTTGGCAACCACGGTTGCTTTGTGCTTTTGTTTTTATCCGAAGCAGAAGTAATATTTCCACTTTAAAGTATTTTTAACACTATTTCGAAATTTATTTAGTAACGTAAATTTGTTACAAGATTTTTGGAAGCAAAAACGTGAAGCATGTTTGGGCAAAAGTGTTGCAAATTTGAAAAATTGAATGGTTAGTTAAAAATGATAATTTAGGGAAAAAAATAAATAAATAAAAATAAATTAATTAATTAACGGTACTTTGCTACAGTGCAGAAGCAAACAAAAACATAATTTTAATATTTTTAATTTTGGCCTCAATTTTGGAAGCGCTTCGATATTATTCAAATAACAACAAATGTTACCAAATATATTTTGTATTTTTATTTTGCTACAATACATTAGCAAAAACAAAAACCACAAAGCAAAAACATTAGCTGAAGTCAAATAAAATTACACAATTATTTGTATTTCCCTTTACCAAAAAAAGAAATTTGCTTTTTATGGTCCTACACGAAAGCACCCCACGGCCCAACACTTTGGTTCAAGTGTCGGCGGGTTGTTACTGACCATTTATTCCGAAACACAGAACTGAATTGGTCACTGATCAATGTTTCCAACAACCCATATTGAATAGAAACCTAAACTGTAACATGAATTTAAGTGACTGTAATAAATATGAAAGTGATTTGGTGATCGAGAATTCAATATGCTTGATGAAATGAATCAAAACTCTTCCTAATTTAGAGAGTATAATCTTGAAATAAATATGTGATATCGCAATTTATTTTTTTTGTTATTCGTTTAGTTGGAAAGAAAAATTAATTTTTTAACATGCATTTGATTAACATGAAAAGAAAAATGGTAAAAAAACTACCATTTCAGAGTTTTTTGTATTATTATTTTTTTTTTAAACCAAAACAGCACTTGCATTATAAAGCAGGAGAGGGTTAATCCTCTTTGAGTACACATCAAATAGCCAAATTGACAAAAATTTGGGCTAGTTATTAGAGGTCCTTGGAGACCGCTTAAGCTTAAAGAACCTATTCCAACTCAAAATACATTCATGCTATGTTTGATGGCATCAAATCGGCGTCTTCCTTAAATCTCAAAGTTACTATAATGGTATGAAATGAAATGAGTGGAATATTATAGTAACGTGAGTTACCCGTGTAAGGTTGAACTCCGAAAGCAAGCCTCTTTTATTTAAATTCAATAACACTGGCCGCTTCGCCCAGCAACGTGGCCGGAGAAGAAAAATAATTAGATTTTTCTAGTTGCATCAATTTTCCAAATACCCCTCCGAATAACATCCCTGCTTGGCTAGGGACCTCTTGATTTATATCTCTTGATTCCTTGTAACACACATGCAATGCAATTTGATATCACTAGTCAACTCCCAAATCTTACAATATTTCCCTCCATAAATTGATAATCTAGCATAATTTCAAAGTTAATAACCCTGATATATAAACATTATTAAATAATAGCCTAGCATTTCCATCACCAAGATGCTGCAAAATATTTATGAAAATTTGGCAAGAGAAGGCTGCTTCTGACTGAAATGACCTAGAACTCCAATCAGTGAGATACATGGTACATTGATATCAGCTAATCTCTTGTATTCTAAAAAGATGTTCAATGTGTAGTAGTCATACAACATCATCAATCCCATGAAATTTTTAGAGAGAGAAAAGAGAGAACACAAACTTTCTTATGTCAGAATCAACTTCTATGGTCCCTAAACATTTCTAGTGTGAAGAGGACAGAATTGGGCAACAGAACAAAACATATTATTGTTCCAGAGCATTAATGACTAATTGCAGGATAAATTTGGAACAAAATTTTGAATCTGCTTTTGGTACATCCTTCTGTAAATTTTTGCACCTTCAAATTCTGCATGAATTTCTCTCTCAGTCCTTATCCCCATTGGATTAGTCAATAGCCATCCCTCGTTATCACAGAGCATGGTAGGATTGATGTTGTTGAAATGCAGAAGCTCGGCTGACGCAGTATCAAAATGATTCCTCATGTCAAGTGCCACTTCAAGCACATCAGACTGTATAAACACCTGCTTCAAACAAAATTATATGCATTATTGCTATATACACGAAGCATGCGCAGTAGCATAATAAGTTGCACAAATATCATCACCAGGAACAAAAAACTTTTCTCTTGTTTTATTTTATTTTATTTTTTCACGTGTATTGTTGGTAGGGGAGTTAGGTTTGGGGAAGGGTGTTTGCACAGAGTTTTGACTTTCAAGCACACAGAAAGGTTATTGCGCTTAACCACTACGTAGTCCAAAAAAACCGAATATAAGTTCTCACTGAGTATCAGGTTCATAGTTACAGTTTGATGTCATGAAGGGACAACATTTTTTGACTGCTGCAGGTTGCTTTTCTTTTCAGTTCGAAAGGAAAAAGTATATGAACTTCGTCTCTAGAACTCAAATTCATTATAAATTTAAAGTTTTGCATTCAGGCGATGCTGGAACAGAAGCAATAAGTAGTCTTCAACCTATCCAACACACACAATCTTAATATTGAACCCAAATCATAGATGCAGGTGCAACAAGAACCCTTTCAAGATTATACTGCAGAAGCTTAGCATCATATATAATAATCAGTCATGCAATTTTGACATTTGTTGTCGTAAAACTTTCTTATATATATTCCCGTCCCAATGAACAGAAGGATTAATTGTATGAAATTGCATAAAGTACCTCAAATGCATTTAGCTTTTTCTTAAGAAATAGTCAAACAGTAAAGGTCCTGAAAAACAGATCAATATATGAAAAAGATGGATGCCGTAAATTCCAAAACAAATAAAGATCAAGTTTCAGCATGTTGATCTCTGGAGCAACTACCGGGAAGGAGTATACTTTTGATAAAATTCACGATTTCAGGTCAATTTTAATGTAATCCAGGAGAACCACACCAATTCATTATCTGGAGCAATCAAATATGCAGTTGGTAACGTCCAGAAAGATGCATTTATGACGGAAACTGCATAAACTAATTCATATGCATTTAGCTTTTCTTGAGAAACAGTCAAACAGTATCCTGCATATATACCTGTCCTCCAGGCGTTAAACTATCAACGATAGAATCCACTAAAGGCTTCTGCAGAACCCTTCTTTTATGATACTTTTTTTTGAAATGAGGATCAGGACACTGCATATAAATATGAGCCAATAATTATTTGCTTCTAAATAACAGTCATGCAGCCTAACCAATTGAGGAAAATAACTTGGAGAATATCCTCCCAAGAAAATATATGTAAAAGCATTTCTTGTCGACCCCTCAAGCATGCATGCTGCACTCACCAGGATGGAAGCCATCATCAATGGTCCAGGGTATGTGGATACAAGTTGTTTGAAAGAAACTGTGGCATTTGCAAATATGAAATGTCTGCATTCAAAATATGCTTTAATAAATAGGAAATAAATTAATATTAGTTTCTTTTTTCCTCACCTGAAATAGAATAAATTGAAACCTTACATATTTCTAAGAGACAGTTCGTTCACCCAGAATTCAGCCCGCTTCACCAACTGCACAAGGAAAAGAATATGTTAAAACGTGAGAACAATGTTTCCACATTCTTTAAAGTTCGGGTGAAGGACCAAACAATTATACATTAACTCAATCAGAAGAATGCTCAAGAGGATTTAAGGCAATCCAAGGATTTTGTTCCCATACTTTCTGGCGTATTTCCAGTCCCAAATAATTCTTTGTATCAGGATTTCTTTTTGCAAGCCACATGAGAAATCTGCCACTACCTGGAAATTCATTACTGTGAGGAAAACTATCAAAGCTCATTTGAGAAAGTGGGATTAATAAGTAAGAGCAAGGGTTGGAACCCTTCCTTCAACACACAAGATAAATATATATATATATAGGTATATATTATATGGTGATTCAAGGCCCTACTATTGTCATTGAGGAAACTAGTGGCATCCCTTGTAGTCAAAAGAATGTCCGTTTGTCCACTCATTAGGTGTAACACCATCATATATATTCTTTGCTTACTCTGTTATAAGATAATGCCAAAAGTTAGGTTCGTACAGCAGTTAACACCTGCATAATACCAAACTCTCCTTTTGCCTCCCAATATTCACTCCTGCCTTTTCGCTTATTGTACCCTTTTTTTTTTTTCCCCCTAGTCTACAAATGTTAGGAGCACACTTCTCATCTCCACTGAACCAACTCCCAATACAATAGTTAATTCAGAAGGATGAAATTGTAGAACCAAGATTTCAAATTAACTTAACAGAAGTGCCCAGTCAGAAGTTCAAGCTATATTGTAAAAGAGTCAAAAACAGAGACTTAGTAGTTTACTAATCCTTTGGTAGGCAGGTCGGTTGTGGAAGACAGCAAGTTAAGTTCAGCAGCTTAGAGGTGATTCGTAAGGGGTAGAAGTGGAGTGATTCACCCAGGCTAGCATAATCTTCAAATCAACTCAACAAACCCTCATTGTCAGGACTTGCTTCACACTGTGCAGATATTGTTTGTTTTGTACCTTCTTGGCGTTCACAGTTTCAAAACGCGTCTACACAGGTAGGAGGAGGCATCCCCCTTATAAGTGCCAGCAACTCCAACTCCCCCCCACCCACCCCAACCCAAGAACCAACACGCGATGGGGCCGAGACAATCATCCCGTCTTATGACCCAGCGTCCTCACTATCATGACCCTCATGGGTTTGTGCACACTCCCCCCATATTCTGGCTGTCAGGGCCCACCTCACAGTGTGCATATATTTTTTTCTTTGTACCCACTTGAAGCTCACCGTTTTGAAATCCATCTACACAGATAGCAGGCATCCCCCTTATAAGTGCCAACAACTTCTTCACCCCTCCCCAGGTGATGTAGAACATCACTTCAAAATCCTAGAAGGCTTGCATTTTCTTTTTTATTATTACTATTATAACTGTGAAACGCTTAACTCCTTTGGACACAAAGCACATAAAGACCACTAGGCTCTCATAAACAGATATAATTAATATATATATACAAAGAGATCACTATATACATCATTGAGAGATCATATATTTTTGGAGAGCATACATTTACTTCCATCATCTAGCATGTTACACTAGTGATGAGTTATTATTCAGAGTGCTAATCATCATCTTATGGAGCTTACATCGTTATCAACATCTAAGCATTTCAACACAACATGTACAACTAATGGCAGAAACTAAATCACTAGAGAAGTAGTTTTGTCGTTTTGTGAGGAGCAAAGTCTATTGACGAGCAAACAAACAGCATGGAGACTTTCAGGGAAAAGTTTGGTGTTATCTTTGTCAGGGAGGTAACTAAGGGTCTGGGGAACTGTAACCTGGGTTGTAAACTTCATTTCTCGTTGGGATTTTAGTTTACATGGACTAGATCTCATTATTTTTCTCCGTTATGGTTTTCATGTAAAAACAGTGTATTTGTGTGTTTCTTCTGCTTTCTATACTTAACTGATTTATACTGTTGCAAAATGTAATTGTAAAATTCAGATATTAGTTATTGTTAATTCATTCATGTAAAAACCGTGTATTTGTGTGTTTCTTCTGCTTTCTATACTTAACTGATTTATACTGTTGCAAAATGTAATTGTAAAATTTAGATATTAGTTATTGTTAATTCATTCACCAATCTAAATCAATATTGGACATAACATACTCTGATATGTGAGCCTAGGTTAATGGTCCTCCAATTTTTTTTATCAAGAAGCCAAGGTATAAGCTTTTTTTAAGAACTTCATCAGGGTTCCTACAGTTCGAGAAGCTCATGATATAAACTAAATGGGTATTGGATTTTCATATAATTAAGTTCCTTATCTAGGAATTGAAAGGTACAAATAGTGTCTTTGCAACAAGACCACAAGTATAAGTAGAAGGAAGAACCATTGGGTTGTCAATGCCAATTCGCAGGGCCTTTTCATCAGATAGAAACCACATACATTGCTATGCTCATAACAGTAGAAGAACAAACCCACAGAATAAACAGCAAACAGGTGGTGAACAGATAAGGAGAAGTGATATATTTGTACCGCTCCCTATATCCACCATAAGTGGCAGCGTTGGATCCTTAAACACTTCATTCCAGTCCGGTACTTTTGCTGGGATCTATTCAAAGTAAAGAAAAATAAACTTCTTGAGTGAGAAAATCCCTCATTCAAGCATCAAATTCCTTACAACATAAAAACGGAATATATATATATATATATAGAGAGAGAGAGAGAGAGAGTACCAAAAGGGAAGAACGAAGAGGGTTGACATGCTGCCGAATTCGAACATGCCCCAAATCCTACAACACCCAGACCAAACCCACATCATATATACATCAGTTATATACAAAAATTAAACTAAAACCATAATTGGGTCACTCTAGTGTTTGCTCATTTTCAAAAAAAATCCTTCATTTTCTACAGGGTGACTACAAATTCTGCTCTCAGTCGTACAAAAAACACACTGTAATTATGTTTACCTCATACACTTTGTCAGATAGATTGAGATCAGCGTACTCGAGAGCGACGAGGCTGGGGCTTCTGATTTGTTGTCCTTGATGGGCAACACAAACAGAGACTATGTTCCTGCAATAGCATTGACGGTAAGGTACGGGTGATGTGATCGATGAGGTAAGCTTTTGGGTGATGATGGGAGCTGAAAATATTGAATGTAGTAGAGCTTCTCTTGCCCTGGGCATTGAGTAGAAAATAGAAACCATTCTCGCCAATTTCCTTATATATGTGATGACATATATGTATTGATATAGATATAGATTGTAGAGGAGTTTGTATCTTCTTCTGCAGAGTCGTCCCGTAAATCGCTACCTGTTTCTCATCTGTCTTTGCTGGCTTCGTTTGGATTGATGGAATTCCAAGGAAAAGAAAGGGAGGATAGTTGGAAAAAAATTAGGCAAAAAGAGTAAAAAATAAATAAATAAATTATACCATTGTTGCATAATGACCCCTAAACTATTTTTTTAAAGCAAACTAACACTTCAACAATAGAAATGTTTCATATTGCCGCCTTGGACAAAACTTTTTGGCAGCCGGAGGTCACTTTCCGACCGGCAGAGGGACACAATTACTAATTTATCCTTATTTATTAATTTATTATAAAAAAAATAAAAAATATAATATGTTGACAGAAAGGATCTCATCGGATAATCTAGTGATTTTGATGATTACAAACTATTAAGGGTGTTTATGGACTAATGTTTACATTGAGTGTTATAAATGATTCATATTCCAAGAATGACCTAAATGAAGCAATAAAGATCATTCCAAGTATACTATTATTTAAGACCACATCAATGGAAAACAATGGATACAAAGAAGACATGAAGTTGCAAAGAGCTAAATGCAAGTCCATCCAAAAATAGCTTGAACTACCACAAGCAAGCAAGCAACTCAAAAAAATGAAGAAATAAAAAATACGTCAAAACCTAAACGATCGTGGAAAAAGCTTGAAGAAAGAGATAGATAGCTTGGTGAGTGTTTGGGATTCAATGTTAAAGTATTTATGAATCCATCTGAAGCTCATCTCTATAAGACCATATATATCATATCAACATTCATATGTTCCTATATCCATTAGCAATAGACCATGAACTTTATTCACATATATAATTGACATATGGAGTCTTTACTAAAGAATGAGTTAGTTCAAGCTTGCACAAGTTTTGAAAAAACTCAACACTTGAGCTAGAAATGCTAGGACTATGCATATCAATCATATGATTTATTTTAGTCTCTAGAAAGTAGAGTCTAAGGCATTGAACTTATTTTTTTTATTCATAAAGCCTTTGTTACCATGACTTCATAAAAGACTTTACGACTCGCGCATCTCTCGTGAAAAACTGTTTTTTATTTTTTTGGCTAAGTATGAAAAAAATGAATTTTTGAAATAAATATATTTTCAAAATAATTTTTCCCGGTATTTACTCATTACATATTAATTAGTCAAATCTGATTTTATGAGATTTTATTATCAATTTTACATTAGTTAAGAATGATTTTTCACCAAAATTGTCGGGAATCCTACTTTATACTAAAATTGAATTTTTACATTTTGATTTAGTTGGATTTTAATTTTCTTTTATTTTTATTGAATCCAAATGGGGGGTACTTCTTTATTTACATTGTAAGTTTAAAGTAAATGGACAAATAAAAATTGTAAAGACATATAGTTAAATGTTTAGAATGCAAATAAGGTGTGTAGAAGTAACTGACCAAATGACACCATGTTGTCGATCAGATGACAAATAGAGAAAATTCATTTTGTCATCTAATCGATCAAATCATGTCATGTAGTTGATAAGATGAACAAAACAGTGTACAAATATCTTTTATGCAGTTCATTATGTAACCGAGTAGTTCACTTATATAACCGATCAGATGAGTTAAAGTGATCGATCATATGAAACATGTATCCGATCAGATGCCACCATGTAAACGACTACATCATTCATGTAGTTGATCAAATGAGATTTTGATATGAAGTAAACGATTAGATCATTCATCTAACTGATCAGATTAGATCTACATCCGATGTAATCGATCAAAAGGTCTGTACAAAGCATACCAACAAATATTTTGACTACTTGACTTCATAAGAACTTGCCATAATACCCCCAAACGACTATAATCTTCAAAAGGTCTATAACTACCCAATGTTTGAACATTATGGGTAGGCATTGGAAAGAAATAGAGAAATCTTCTTGAGTATCAAAGAGCTTTTGTACTTCATCTTTTCATTATCTCATACATATCATTAATAGAGTATTGAGCTTCATTTGTATTCATTTATACTCTAGTTGTGAGCTTTGATTTGCATATCAATCTTTGAGAGATATATTCTTGTGCAATAAATTTCTATCTACAATCAATTGTAAGGGTTGGTGTAACCCAATATTGGTGTGATCCAGTAGAAGTCTAAGAGAGGATTTTTCTTTTAGTAAGAAGAAATGGTGTGCTTCTTGTACCGATTTGCTCTCTACTCGTAAGGAGAAGCCATAGTGGATTGGGAAGTCTCAAGAGGGGTCTTGAGCCAAGGAGTAGGAGTTTCAGAACCTCGCAAAAATTGTCGTGTTATTGTTTACAATCTCTTTTCCCTTATCTTTTTTACAAACGTGTTATTAATTGCTTATATCTATATCTTAATTATTGCATAAATGTTATAAGGTGTTTATTAGAATTTGCAAAACTATTAAAACCAAAAATTGACCATTATTTGCCATTGACTCTATTCACCCCCCTTTAGAGTCAATACTTAGGTAACATAATATATATATATACATACCAACAATACCCTCTGATTATTTAATTTTTTTCTTCATCATCTTCCCCATAGTCGGTGACTATACGCGCCACCGACGATGACGATGACCTGTCTTTGATGCACGAGGATTAAAGCTTTTGCTCAAAAAAAGGGAAGATGCTGACGTCAATTGCCGGTCTGCAAAACCATTTTCCTTCTCCTTCATCACTGCACCCTTACAATAACCATCAATTCATCGATTAACAGCGTGCCCACACCTCACAAAATCCACAACTCCTTCGAACACCGACAGCCACTGTTGCAACGGAATATGCAGCGACACCACCCTTTTCAGGCTCTCAGTGCTATTGGCGCACCCAAATTCATCGTGGGGGAGTGTAGGGGCTTCGGTGTGGGTATAGAGGAGTGGTCAAATGGGATGGTGGGTTTGTTGGTGGTTGCGATAGTGTGGCAAAGGCGTGTGAGGTGGTTGACGGTTGCGCGTATGGTTGACAGCTTGATGTTGCGAATCTGGTTAATTTACATGAACTAGAGTTTGACGGCTTGAGGGAGTAGCTAGAGTTCCCTAGAGATATTGACAAGTTATCCAAATTTCAGGTATTCAAGTTGGTTTATACCAATATTAGGACACCACCGGAATGCATTGGTGCATTTTCTCAGCCCAAAATCCTCACTTTGCGGGGATGTCATGATGTTTAATGTATATTAGGGTCAAATTCTAGTCTGGCTAAATTATCTCTTAAATATTATAAATTATTGGAAAGATTGTCAGATATGTCAAATTTGAAAATTAAGTTCATGAAGGGAAAGAAAAATGGATCTGCAGAGGTGTGGTGATAAAGGAGAAGGAAAATGGGTGTGCCGAGGTTAGGTTAGAGAGAAAAAGAAAGGAGATATCTGAGGTTTTTTCTCATTCCTCGACATTCCTTTTATGCCTTGTAGGAATTTATGATACCTTTGGACTCTTGGGGTCCAAGGTCATATATATATATATATATATATATATATTCAAAAAAGGCCTATCACCGCCTACCGCCATAGCTTTAGGCGTAGTGGTGAAGGCAGCGGTAGTGACCAATTTCTATGTTGGCTTCTATAAGAAGGAATTTATCATTTGTTTTCTTACCGATATGGGATGTTTTCTTCTTTTTCTTTAAAAAAAAATATAAATAATAATAAAAAATATAAATTTGTTGGCCTGCAAATAGGTAGTCACTAGCTCATTGGCCTGATACCTTACAGGCCTACTAACTTTGGGCCCAAAGAGGTGAACTAAAACAAAATTATTGTAAGGAGTGCCCGTTGGCGATGGAGCCTTGGATTGGATTCATTTGCTAGCAGGCCCTCCTTGCAATCTGCTTATGTAATAAAATATTCACATATATCAATGGGGTTGTGGCGCTATTTTTGTCCTATGTGGGACAAAAAGAAAGCAACATTTTTCTTCATACTTTTGGTATTATATTAATAGTCCCTTCCCCCTAATTATGAAGGAGAATGTACCTTGAAGGTGTTGATACAATAATCACCTAAAAAAAAATGAACTCTTACCTACACAACTTTTAGTATCCACTATAGGTGTTATGTGGTCATAGGGTTTAAAACTCGAGAATCTATTCAAATGTGGGACTTTCATTTTTTCAAACTTATATATATATATATATATATATATATATATATATATATATATATATATATATATATATATATTCTTGTATTTTTATAAAAAATAGTTACCGTCAAAAGCGGTTCTGATCCCATATTGACAAAAAAGACATGGGTTTATCAGGTTATATGTGCTAAGGGAATGTTCTCCTTAATGTAATGGAGGACCTCGGACACACGGGATTTTAACGTGTATTCGACGCTCTCTATTTTTGTTCCTTGATCAAACTGAGTTATTTTACAGGGTGATGTTTCTAAAATGTTATATTGAAGACATTATCTTCGAATAACTTAAATACGAGTGGCCATAAGTAGCCCACCTTTATTAAATAATAATAAATAAAAGCCTAACAATCTTTATTAATGATAGTAGGTGTATTGCATTCTAGGGTCTTTGTAGTGCCCGACCATTGCTCTTGGCTAGTCTGTAGGCTCATTTACCCACTACTTATGTGATTTGGTAAGGTCCGGTTCAATTGTGCTATAACTTTTTCACGCGTGATGCCTCTTGCTTCAGCACCCAATCTCCCACGGTCAAGCTTCTGAGCTTATTTTCTTGTTGCAATTATTCCTAAGCTGTTGCTAATACACAGTGAGCCTTATTGCAGTTGTGTCTCTCCTTTCTTCGAGGAAGTCAAGGTTGTGTTCTAGTTGTTGGTTATTGCCTCTAGCCATGAGTACGTCAGTCCAAAGATTTGGTATTTTTTTATTTTGTTGGGATTACCGCTTCAGATCCACAGGCTAGTGCGAAGGGACTTTCTTCAGTCGGCCTCACCGGGGTGGTTCTATAAGCCCATAGCACATTCGAGAGGTTTTTGTACCATTTGGATTTATGTTGCTCTAGCTTCTTCTTCAGACAGTCAAAGATCATCCAGTTGGTTATCTCAACCTGGCCGTTTCCCTGTGGATGACTTACCGCGGCCAACTTTCGACTTATCCCGTACTCTCTGAAGAA